CCGCTTTACATTGCCTTGTTTGTCATTTTCTTCTATACTGTAAGTCTACTCAGATATGGCGCTCAGAAGTTGGAGACAAGGTGGACGAAAATCCATATGGGGAAAAAAGCTGCCAGAATAGGAGTTTTTCGGAATTCACCGTCATCGTCGAAATTACTCCGGTCGTCCCTTAGTTTCAAATCCATTCATGTCGCAAAATTTAAGAATAATGAGGATTTTAAAAACGTTTTAGACCCGGTAATTTCTTTTCGAAATGGAACCAAAATCGTAAATAATGGTGAGAAAAACATCACTGATTAGTTTTGTGCTTGGCTTTGCTTTTGGGCTTTGCTTTAAACGTTTTTGCCCAATGCGGGCGCTACGATATTACGCTCCGACCTAATATACAATACCTGAAAATACACTAGAGCCTGCAACTGTGTGCACTGTAACCCATATACACTGCGTTCCCATAATTATACGTCCACCTAAGAATTTCCCAAAATCTCAGAAATGGGGATGTTTTGAAAAAAGTCTCCAATGTGACAATGTGTCATATATAAATGCGGAATTGCTTATGAACATCAATTTTCTATTTAAGATCCTAGGATTTTTTTCCAATAATTTTTGTCTAAAAGGCCACTCTGCCGACGTCCCAAAATTATACGTCCACCTCACGTTTATCGATTACTTTTCACTTTTGTTCCACGAAACTTTTTCATTGTGGTAACACTTCACTTCTTGAAGGGGACAGCATAATAAAGACTGCTGTTCGTATGTTGAAGAAGGTTTAAAAAGGTTTGTCGTAGTACCGTGAGTTGAACAATGGCATTCGCGCCAGATTTTGGACAAAATTTCACGCCAAGCTCAAAAATTTCTTCGGGGTTTCACGTGAAATGGAGTTTAGAAGAGCCTCGAGGGTCTCTCATTACTTTTCAAACGAAACCAAGGCCGTTTCACAAAGGAAACATCCCTTTTCATCCAACGGTGGTCTGTCATCGAATCTTCTTCAGAACTTAATGCCTCGACCAACGTTTGTTCCACGCGTGTGTGAAGGAATCCCAAGATCATTCTTGATCTCAGTAAAAGTGAGTGAATGTGAAGGGCATTCATTTGTGGCAAGGAATCGTGGCGAAAACTGGGCTGATTTTTGCATGATTGTGCAGCCGAGCCTGACTGGAGTAGAGTCCTTTTTTCCCTGCTATGCATGAGTGCTTGTCTGTCTTTCTTTTCACCATTTTCTTTCTTTTAGCAGTGATTCACTAAGGAAAAACATAAAGCTAAAGGTAAACGTGAGAAGAGAAACAACAAATGTTAAAACATATCGAGCAGAAGCGAACCTCACTTCAGTCGGCTCGGCTGCACCTTCATGCAAAAATCAGCCCGTTTTCGCCACAATTCCTTACCACAAATGAATGCCTTTCACATTTACTAATCAAGAATGATCTTGGGATTCCATCACACGCATGAAAGAAAAGTTGGTTCGAGGCATTAAGTTCTGAAGAAGATTCGATGACAGACCACCGTTGGATGAAAAGGGATGTTTCCTTCGTGAACACGGCCTTGGTTTCGTTTGAAAAGTAATGGGAGACCCTCGAGGCTCTTCTAAACTCCATTTCACGTGAAACCCCGAAGAAATTTTTGAGCTTGGCGTGAATTCGGTCCAAATCTGGCAAAGCGCGAATGCGTTGTTCAACGGTTTTTGCGACAAACCTAACATTTTCAAAATCCAACAGCAGTTTTTATTTTGCTGTTCCCTTAAGAAGTGAAGTGTTACTACAATGAAAAAGTTTCGTGGAACAAAAGTGAAAAAGTAGTCGATAAACGTGAGGTGGACGTATAATTTTGGGACGTCGGCAGAGTGGCCTTTTAGACAACAATTATTGGGAAAAAAAAGGTTTTATAGTGATCTTAACTTCGAAATATTGATGTCTCATGAAGCAATTCCGCCGCCATTTTTAATATGACAATTGAATCCAGTGTTGTGAGACTTTTCTTTCGGAATAGCACCATTCTGAGTATCTTTTGGCGGAAAATTCTTTAGTCCCTCTGGGCTACGTTTAAATGTCCCATCGGGACGCAGGTCTGTATTACTCAGTAACACCTCTTTCAGGACATTGTTGAGAAAGTCGCTTTAAGAGTACAAAATACAGTGCAAAAATGAGTTCTGATTAAGGCTGATGGTCAGATTTTCCTCGATCCTTATTGCGTCGATGGCGGGGCGTATTTGTATCGTGCAGATATTTTGCGCGATTTTCGCGATTTGCGCGATTTTCGCGAAACCTGCGATGGATCACAGGAGTTGGAAGTGCCCGATGAATACTGCGAGGTGTTGTTTAATCCTGCTGCGAATTCTGCTTGGCAGTAAAGATTGGAAGACGAATGTTTGTGGTTCTACTTGTTTCATGTTCAATGTGCCTATTAGTTCATTGAAAATGAATCTCTTGGAATCGTTCCTATTTTTTGTTTTTGTTTTCTTTTCTAAGGTTGAGAGTCAAACCAAACCAAAATCCAAAAAAATGTCTAATGTGCCGCCCCATATTGAACGATAATGAAACACTGGATATGAAAACAAGTGGAATCTCCGAACCTGAGCAGTTTCCATATAAACCATTAACCAATCAATGACATGAATCTCAAGCTGATCGGCTGAGATTCCGTGAGAACCACTTGCACAGTATTGGATGGGCCACTGTGAGTAGATTTCTCGGTTCCGGACCCTGTTCGCGTGTTATCGTGAAAAATTCGCTGCTAAATTCGGCGAAATCGTGCGCAAAGGGATACGGCGTGAGCCTGTACATCAGCCTAAACGAGGGAAAACATTGAATTGCTGAAATGTGACAAAATACGGCTTGAATAACAACACCGTCACCCACGTGACGCTAAGACCTCGGCCTAAAATGAACATCGGAAATATATACAACGACACCAATACTCGATACTCCCATAAAAGCCACCTACCTTGGATTTCAGTAGAGAATATTTTTTTCGCCATTCCATGTTTCCTTTAGACTTTGCTGTGCATAGCTCCGGCGATGGTCTCCCAAACTCGTCTTCAGAGGCTTTCCATTGAAGAATACTCCTCAGATTGCGTCCCATCCTTGATTTTCCAGCCTGTCCTGATGGAGCCAATGGTCCAACAGCGGGCGGTGGTCGTACTGAAACAAGCATTTCAATCTAGAAAAGTATTAAGTCAAGGAATGTTAACTTCGAACAAAAAAGTTCATTGACCTCCCGGCACTGGTCCGATCGGGGCAGCTGCTTGTGGATTTTGTGGAGGTAATGGTGGCATATCAGGAAGCGAGGGAAGGTCTGCAACAATTACAGGGACGGTCCTGCCTTAGCGTCCCGGATTGCGGCAGCGTACTGCTCGGCCATTCGTCTATTCATTCTAGAATTTTTAATAAATACTGGTATCAGGTGACTCCGCGTGCGTTTTGGTGTAGATGGTAGATTCAGATGAATATCCTTATATTTTATGAGCCGCTAACTTGGTGTGTCGCTTTGTATATACATATGTATGTATGTATGTATTCGTGTATGGCATGCATGTCTGTCTGGCCGTCCACGACATAAAGTGAGTAATAAGGCAGCTAATGGAATAAACAGCCGCTAACAGAATTGGGTAGCTCGCAGGCTTGAGCCATCAATGTATTGTAATAGGATAATTAAGATAACACTCCTACGGCGACGGCGATAAAACACCCCTGAGCACACTTTCAGTTATTCCAACGGGTGCTGCAGTGACGGCCGGAGGACAGTGGTGGAGGGAGGACGGAAGGCGGAAAACCAATCACAAACAGAGCTGAGGTGCAGTTAGGTACTGATATGGCATTCTACCGTCATATCATGATTATGGTGATGCCCTCTACTATATGAAATTCTTTTTTCTTGCATACGCGGAACCTACACGAGTGTTGGTGTCACAGGTGGAAGGGACAACAGCGGAAGACGTGAAGAGCCTACACAGGGAAGGAAGGTTCTGGCAGTTGAGGGGACCAATCTAGTTGTGGATAAAACAAGAATGAATCAGCGCAGAAATAAATCAATAAATGATTTATAATAATGAGAATTCAAATAGAAAGATTTCCATCATTAGTGACCTAGCCTTCCTTTCATTGCCTTCTCGAGCTGCCTTCTTGCCTAACGACTGGAATCTTTCCATTCGAGTCTGAAGCCCATCAAGGAAAGTTGCGGGTTTCTCAACTTTTCTGTAAGGCGGTGGAGATGGAGGAACATCGGCCAAGTCAAGTTCATCGGCACTGGCAGTGTCTAGAGCTGCTAACGCGCCTGAACAATAGTCTCTTTCAGAAATACTACTACACTGCGCTATAATAATACCACAGATATATCACAGCCACTGGTTTACAACTTTTTGAGATCTACAAAATGTAAAAAAAAATAAATACCTGATCAAACATTTTCGCTATTTCGACGTAGCCCCCCCCCCCCACTTGCTTTGCAGCTGACTTGTCCATTGCTGCAACTGCTGCCTGCAACGCATTACATGCACTCAATAACATGAAAATACACAACAGGCACCTACTCATTCTCCTCACTAATACTGTAGAATGGAAAGGAAGTTCGGAACCATAACACACCAAAATTGAAATCTATTTTTTTTATTTTATCTATTCTGAGATCCCCATCAAATTGGCCATCAGAGTCAGCAACGAGTCAGCAACAATACTCCAACCTCCAAGCAACAGTTCACCACATTTGAAGGAATTAGAGGAATTTTCGTCGAAAAAGCTTCGGGAGTCGGATTCGCGGTCCTTTTAGTTGTTAAGCCTTTTTGCTCTCCAGGTGAGATGAGCAAGTGAGATGAAAGGCGTGTATGGAGAGGTTTTGCGGACTGTGTCCTATGGGCAACCACAGCCCAGCATAGACGAAAATCTTTCGAGGTGAGACAGAATACACGCGGGACGAGTGCCGTCGTGAAGGAAAGTGAGTTGTCGCTGTTTTTCGGAAAGCTTTTTTTCGCAATAGTTCCGACCACCTAGGCAGTGTGAGCGCCTGTCAGTCATCGATCCAGCAAGACAGACGGATCATCCGTAACCGGTCACTATTCCAGAAAATTAGACAGCATCATCATTTTCCCATAAACGTCAGATCGACGCATTGAAACTCTAGTTTCGCATACTCTGAGCCCTTGGTGATTCCGCGAATGGTTGACAAAGCAGATCCACTTGTTTTCGCCAGTGGCCATCCCGCAGTCTACCGCTTCTGCAGAGCGAGATGCGCAGATGTCCAGCCGGTGAAATCGTGCGTACTGTCTGATCACATTTCCAAGGCTTGCTTGTCTGTCGAATAAGAGCCGGAATGACCACATGCACTGTGAAAGCGTCTGAAGATTGCGTATGGCCAGAGTTAAGGTAGTCGACTTCTAATCAAATCGATCCTCGGTTTACAGCGCGCGACGACGTCAAGACGGGACAGTGTCGTGTATGTGATGATAGTCGTGCGACGAGCGCGAGATGCTTTGTCCTACGTCCAATCACGGCTTTGGTTCTGGCCAATTATCTGTGGGCCGCATGCGAGGGTTCGGACACAGAAATGATCGCTAGGCACGATACTCGCGGCAAAGTGAATTTTGATTGCAAACACAAAAAAACGCGCAACCGCAAACGGATGCCTAACGCAATATAAGGGCAAGCCAGCTAGATTACAGGCCACGCGTACGCAGCACAGTACACTCCTTTTATATACCACCCATGGACAATTCCAAAGCACGGTAGAAACTCAGAAACACCGCAAACTATATGGTTCGAAACTTTCTTCCCAACTTAAAATCCGCTTCGCCTGTCTGTCACAGTGTCTGTCAGTCCCATTTCCTGGAGATTCCTCCAGAGACCGGATTCAAAGAGAAAGAGAAAAGTGTGGGATGAGCGGGCCATCTTCCAAGTAGCATAAAGCTAAGCATCATGGGAGCATGGCGCCCACAGTAGGCGTGGCATGCATAGAAGTGAGGGGCCATGACGAAGAAAATTTCAAATTTGGACCTATAACAACCAAGGGACCGGGAAAAATGAGCAAATGTGTGCATTAAAGGGGAGATCGCCTCCGGTGAGCAGTGCATTTTCTCCAGACTGACGGTGCTTAAAGGCACAATTCGCGATTAGGCGCACTCGTCTGTTCCGTAATAACTTCGTATAGCAGGTGGGGACAAGCTGTTTGAGTGTCGCGCCCTTTCGCGCTATGTGAAGCCGCGTTGTGCTGCAATGTGCCAAGCAGCTCACCAAACCAGCAACGCATACCCTCGACCGCGAGCCCCACCCTCCGCTGTTGGTTGCCACGTGGCGCTGCTTGAAAAGCGCGGGAGCATTTGAAGCAGTGGTCATCGGGATCCTACGTCATTGGCACAGGAGCAGGTAGAGTTAGGTTCTTGAAACTCGTCCAATTCGCCTTTTCTTTATCCCAAGGTAGACTGTGGCTGAAATAGAGGGGAGGTCTCTGTACGGGGCGTAATCTCGAGTGGTCGTATTGATTCCTTGCTCCAATTCCAGTACCACACTCCCTCCCACCTCTAGCTTTATAACTGAACGCTTTTCCACACCTATTTTATCCCGAATCTAGCCTTTAACGAAAAATTCATAAACCGGTTAGGAGAAAGCCTAGAGAGAAGAACGAAAATTGGTTGGTGTAGAGACATTTCGTTCAAGGCACAGCACATATTACGTGAGCGGAGGACAGCCCGCAATGGACGGAGGTTCCCGTCAAGAGGATGGCGTTTCTTACAAGTCATCATAATTCGGCTTCGAGAAGTCGTAGAGTCGTAGAGTCGTAGAGAAATGACGTAGAAGAGGATAGAGAAGGAGAAGAGGTTTGATGTTGATGGTGGGCGTGCATATCTGGAGGTGGGCGAGGTTTGCCACCAAGTTTATAACTTGGTTTCAGAAAAAGGTGATCGGTAAAAAAACGGATAGATTGGCAAGGAAGGAGAACAAAATCTGCTACTGGCTGCGTGGGAGCATGCCACCAGACAGTAGAGCGAAGTTTTCGCCGCGGAAACTGTTACAAATCCAGGTTTAGAGACAAGGTTGGGAATAGGGTAAATGGACAGAATGTTGCAAAGTAAGCGAGAGAGTCAAAACCCCTCAGCAGACTGTGGCAAGGTGTGTATTAGGCGATGTCAATGTCTGCGTGAATCGAGCGCATTCGCTAGGCGAATCGTGGATTCCGCGAGGCGTTTGCGTACGCGCGAATCGAACGGTGTTGCGCCAGCTCGAAATCGAACTTTGGCGCCAGCGCGAGTCGAACGGGGCTGGCCGCGCAGGTGATGTTCCAGCCAGCGAGTCGGCGAACGATGTACGCAGCGCGAGTCGAACTAGGTACCAGCCGAGCTATGAGTAGTGGCGGGGACCCAAGCGTTTTAAAGGAAGACCGCACTTGTCGACACAGTGTCACTGGTCCACGTGACACTGTTGAAACGTGGCGCGGTTCTTTTGAAATCGTGGCGTACCGCCTACCTATTTGAAGTCGCCCCTGGATGGTGAACCATAGTGCGACTCGGCTGCAGTAGCATCGGGTACGAGCTCGCGTCTGTCAGCGGGCACGCAAAGTATCGAATTCGCTGCGCTGCCAACGTTCGATCCGCCCGGAGCGCAACCGTCCTCGTGATCCAAGCGAGCGCTAAGCGAATCGCTCGATCCCTCGCAAACTATGACATGTCGGCCTTACGTTGGGGAGACAGAAAGCTGCCGGAAACACCGAAGAAATGTGTGCTTTCTGTGTATAAGTGAGCAGCACCGAGGAGGGATTACACTGCGGTAGTTGGGTCAGGAGTTGCGCCACGGGAACTTTCAGAATGTCGCAAGTAAGGTGAGGAACGCGGAGTACAGAATTTGTGAAAAAAAGCGATTAGAGGCCGACGAAGGAAAGCGGGTCAGTTGCTATTGGTGGGGGAAACATGCAGCGTGATAAGCGGAGCTAACTGCAAAGTCGCAACATGGTCCAGAAATAGCATGGAGACCGAGAAGAAAGCGGATAGAGTTAGCGCGCAACAGCGTGCGGGGCTTACCTAGTACTTTAAGATAGCAACAAAGGCTCTTCCTCTTTCTTCATACTTTGGGGGTGCGACCGAATCGGTGGTACCCGCGAGCTGTGAGGGTAAATTTGAAAACGCACTCATGGTGCCCTGTGCTGAGCGTTTTCAAATTTACCTGCACAGTTCGCAGGGCACCCTTACAACCTTGGCCGCCATCAGCACGGCAGCGAGAAGGGTGGGCGGGAGGGGAGGAGGAGCGTATACAAACGAATTAAAGCGAGGGATTACGATAAGTTTGGACTGGGTTCATAGTGGAAGTGGAGATGCTGAATAATGCCCCAGTGGCGAAAAAAGCAAAGAAATCCGTCAAGAAGGCGCAAAATGGGACCCCTTTCTTTGCCCGTTGACCTCCGATAATGGACGAGCTAGCAACCAATTAGGAGGTCGTTTGCACATGTTATGCTGATAGCCTCTATCATTTCAGCAAGCATCATGCTTTGATTGATCACGCATCCCATGAAAAGTTATAGGATACACTCTGGAAGTGGAATATCGTCGCGTCACGATCGAAGGCGCTGCTGCTGGGGCCGAAAGGAAAGGATGTGTGGGCGGAGCACAGATCGTGGCAGGGCTCAGAAAGAAATGGCAAGCCGTTGTACGCTGCAACTAGCGCACCTTTGACCACAAAAACGCAACATTTCGTTTCCTTGGGCCCCTGACTACTGCTTCCAATGGTGCATGTACTTCCACGCTGCATACGCACTTTATCGTAATCTCTTGCTTTAAGACAAAGTTACGGTAATGAACTATTATCACCATCCCCATGAGCTTCCTTTCAAAGCCGCACCGAGGTTACACTCTGTTTGCTTTCTTTGCGCTTCCCATAATGCACGTTTCTTTCCGTATATATCATATGACGTGGTCATTTTATGCCGCTTTTGTCTCTTCTAACACAGAACGAATCTGATCATATAAAATAACAACTCACTTTTCCATTCGCCACGTATGCGTCTCGCCTCCTCCTTTTCAACACCTTTAATACTTGATCTTTTCGTGAATCAGCGCTCCTTTCCTGATAAACAAGAGCCGCATCGGGAAAATTCCAATGTACATGAACTGTCTGTACTCACAGGGCCTTCAACAGGCATACATGACGATGAAGTTCGTTGAGGAATCGTTGGCGATTCAGCAATGGATTCTTGCATAATTCCTGAGGTGCTTCTCCTCGGAACCGGAGGAGGTTGTGAAGTAGGGAGAGCAGGAGGAGCAGGCGCTTGGCGAGAGGGCAGCTATAAGAAGCTTCAATCAAAATCTACTCGAATACGAGCACCAAAAAAGAATTGGAGAATTTAAAGGAGTTCAGAAGTAAAATAAGTTCAAGCCGTGAATCCGAAAATCGAAAGAAGAAAATACATGTATGTTGCAAAAAGGTCAACAAATTGAAGGATATGTTAACACATTGACGACAGCGTGCGTTTTGGTTTTTTGGCTCTGAGACGACAGGCGTATTTTCCGTCGCGGCCAACTCGCAATCGTAAATTTTGATTGATGAATATGCAAGACATGAATGCACAAAAAATTAACGATGTGTAGAAGCTATCCGGGTGTGGGCCACTAGTACATAAAGAGAATTTTTCGCTTTTTGCAGCACCAACCTTTCACGCTGTGGAAGTCCCTGGTCTGCTCATGATCAGCTATGGAGCTCGAGTTATGCAGCGAAAAATTTTGTGCTACAAAAAGCGAAAAGTCGCTCTTTGTCCTAGCTAACCACACCCAAGTTAACCGAGGGAGTATTAGTAGAACTTCGTGCAGATAAAGGGCAATGGTGAGGTAAAGCGCAATTTTGCTTGCTCACAAGGTAGAGAATATCAAAAGCCGGTAAAAACATGTATTTTGCGATCCTTGCCAAATTGCCATTACTTCTACTATTCCCTCTCTCTTTACGTGTTCATTGGAATAACTCAAAAACAAGGAATGAAAAACTTGCTCTTAACTTGTAAATTTTGCAAGGCTTGGAAAACCTCTGCTGAATGAAGGCAATCTGATTATGCTATGAACCACCTCGTTCATAATTATTTAATAGTGAATCTATGGAATAGATACAAAAACATGGGACGAAATCGTGTAAGCGCGTGCAAAGGGATGACAAGGGTGGGGTGGATTCACTTCACAATGTACTGCGTAGCCTGCAAAGTAGGACGAGCGACCGAGTCCCACTTTGGGGCCACGTGGGACACCGTGACACATGTGTGTCAACGAGGACTAAGGAATCAGGTTACAACACCTCCAAAAAATACCTGGACAATCGAACTAGAAATCGAAAAGTCCCACAAAATCTATAAAATCGGACTAAAAACCAAAAACTTGAACCTACAATAGGATCATTCGGTGATGTGGCAAATGATGGTGGTGATGGAGGGATTTCTGTTTCGTCAACACTCTCACCGCGTTCAGCTTTGATGATCAGCTCTCTCAGTTTGTCAACGGTTCGTTGATGCCTGGAAGAATGCTTATTGTTATCATTCATTATCCTTCTATTATATAAAGCGCTAACTTTGTGTGTCGGTTTGTATGTATGTGTGTGTGTATGTATGTATGTATGTATGTATGTCCGTCTGTCCGTCCGCAAAATGAAGTGAGTGAGAAGGAAGCTCATGGAGTAAACACCGCTAACAAATCGGGTAGCTCCTCGAGGTATCAATGTTTTGTAGCAGGATAATTGTGATAACACTCCTACGGCTATATAAACATCTGCTGAGCAATTCCGGTCATTCCGATGGTGCTGCAGTGGCGTGGGCGACGGACTATATTCAATCGTCGGCTAATGAGGTCACGCCGCTCACGCGGCGAGAATCGTCGCGTGCGGCAGTTGCTGCGGCGATTTCTGTGTGGACCTTTTCTTATCCATCCATGCCCATAAGTTGGCTAGGTGACTGATAACACCAGAGTGCTGGACATCAGTAAGCCAGCAAGCGTCACTGTAAGATCCCTGCAGTGATTTAAGCCTCGCAGTACAAACTGTACCGTGTAAAGGTTGTCCTTTTGGATTTAATTTGACTTCTTTATTAATCAGTTTCCTGAATTTCTATCAGAGTAGTGATAATCTGGTTCAATCTGAAAGAATATTGCGTATCAAGACACAGAGTAGCGGCGAGGAAGGCTCTAACATAAGCATGATATGATAAGTATGTAATAACGGCGAGCGAAAACGAAACTGCATTTTAAAGGTTTAAGTGGTTCTTATTTCATGTTTCATGAAGGGAAACATGATCTGATCGTACATTCCCCAATGCTTGGATGCTGAGTTCTTTGCAAATTCGCCGCGATATTGCTGGCTGCGGCGGCCCGCGCGGCGACCTACTTACTGCCACGATTGTATAGTCACGCACCCCGCTGGAGGAAGTGAAGGAAGGAAGGATGGGGAGGGATGGCGGAAAAATCCACCGTCATATTATGATTATGGCAATGCCCTCTACTTCATGAAACTCCTTTTGTTGCCCACGCGTAGACCACGAAGTGTTGGTGTCACAGGTGAAGGGACCACAGCGCAAGACATAACGCTTACGCAGGAAGGAAGGTCCCGGCGGTTGATGGGGGACTAATCTGGTTTATTTAAAAACAATGTGCGCCTAATAAATAAGCCTAACAGCATCAGGAAACACAAAACTTCCTCAAAAAAAAAACAGAATTCGAGGATAATTGGCTGATGTCAGACTTTGCGATTGGAGCGATTTTGCACCAATTGCAGGAGCGACGGATCGCTTGAGCGATGCGAGCGACGGGAGATTTACGAACTGATGGCGCCGAATTATCGGTGGTCGGCGGTGTAAATCTCCCGTCGCTCGCATCGCTCAAGCGATCCGTCGCTCCTGCAATTGGTGCAAAATCGCTCCAATCGCAAAGTCTGACATCGACCATTGCTGGCGATTACTGAAGGGAGTCGAGTGAGGGTTTTCAAGAACGCAAGGTGAAAGAAAAAGCGACAATTAACTTCGTCTCCTAGCAGGGTTGGAAGGTTCAACCTCCTAGTTCGAAGTTCATACGTAAGCGAGGAATATGGTAAGACCGCCGTCACACTCGGCGCCAGACAGCAATCGCGATCGATCCATCGCTTGTCCGTTGCCGAGTCTGACGACGGTCTAAGCATTAGCGAGAAGACTGATCACGAAAATGCAAGACATAGCAGAATTAATAGCCAGGAAAGTAACGAAGTCTGAGCCATGGCGGTGCTGCGGCTTCATGAATATAAATTTAAAGTATAAGAAGAAATTCGAAACCTACCTTCTCTGTTTCACATTATTTCCTTCTTTAGCGCTGGCGGCAAGCATTTTGTCGTAGACAGCTACCAATCCACGAAGTTTACTAATCAGGGCGGCATCTCGTGAACTAGGTGACGGCAGATTTGGCGGTCTAGAAGCTGTTGCATCCGTATTAGCTGGTTCCTCCTCCTCGCTGCCCCCTATGAGGCCAGACAACTCAGCCTGAAGGACAGCTCTGCCTATACAAGGAATGAGGTACACCTCTTCACTGAACATAGAGTTCTTTATTAGTAAGATTTACCAGTAATTCGGGATCATTTTCCAATGCAGTTTCATCCACTTCAACATCGTCGGCCAAAGCTTTAGACAGTAGTGTGGGATCAACACCTGTAAAAAACGAATATGCTAAATATACGAATAATAATAATAATTTTAGTAATAATGATAAAATGGCCTGAGTATTGACTTATCTAATGCTCTGCGGTCGATACGATCGGACGATCAAGTACGCAGGCGCCCTAAGGCTGCTTTCATACTTCGCATCATACTTCGCATACTCGATGCCATTCGCCGCACCGACCGCTCTTCACACTGTCGGTGCCGACGGCGCCGACCGCACCGACAGTGTGAAGAGCGTCAACACGCGCTCTGGCGCATGACGCGTGCGCTGGGCGCAGATGGGGCGCTCCGGTCGATAATCTTGGTTTTGGTGTATTTCTTCGATGTTTTTTGCACTCACTTCATATGAATAAACAAAATTGCTTACGACCAACACACCCGGTATGGCCACATCCACCCGGAGTTGTGCGACGGGTTCACGACGTCGCTCGCCCGCGGAACAACTGGAAAGTATTAATCAAGACATAAAAGGGCGCAATGTGGCTCGGAGGGGGGGGCAGCCGCCGCGCGGGGCGTTGCGGCAACAGGAAATTCGCAAGCCAGGGGGAGTGTAGCCAATTCAGGGGGGGGGGGTGAGGGCAGTCACTTAGCATGCGTGAGAAGCTGAAATGTCCCGTG